GTCAGCTATGACTCTTTTCACTGTATTGAATGGTCGTTAGTGTCGATCAACTGTGACCGGACACCCTGCACCCTGGCCATCACAGATCCCATCAGTTAATCTCTGAATGTTTAATGGCATGACCCAGGTATAACGGTTACCAGTTCATTAACCACTGATTTTATCGATAGTACTGCCAAACCCTAACAGCATCAAATGGGACATACTATTGATGAACGTGGATTGGCTCTAGCGTTCGAAGAACATGTGTAGAACAACCAGGCTACCGCTGCCTAGATGTTTATGTAGATGTTTGTAACTCTGAATTGGAATAAAATTGTATAACAGGGCAGCGATGCGTTTCATTAGCTTCTGATGCCTAATCTCCGTGTGGCCTACAGGTTGAACCGTCGATGAAGCAGACCAACTCAGCGGGCTGTTGTGATTTACAAAATGCCCTGGGCAGCAGCTGCAAAGGGAAGCTTCTGGCGTTTTGATGTGCCTCTCAGAACCTCCTTCAGAGGTTTTGCTAGAAGTAGTGATCACAACATTGACGTTAATTTCCGTTTGTTTTGATACAAGAATGCTTCCGTTTCACAGACCTTTCATCTGTGACTCTGTTAGCAGTAGCGGTGTATTTGTTTTTTCAAGAGTGCTTTTTCTCTATCATCCTCTGGTTATTATTAATTATAAAAGTTTTTCTGTACTTAGTATCTCCTTGAAATGCCCAAAGGCGGCTTCCCGATTTCACTCACTCATTGTTAATATACTTCATTTATATGGTGACTTGTTTATATTCACTGCTGGACATAACATTCCCAGTCTTTTGACCTTCAGAAAGTTATCACTGACAAGCAGGTAAGAATAAACACCTTCATTTCCAATCTCCTTTGCATTTCTAGGATCGGTTCCATTTTGATTGCCTGTTTATATTGTGCTTATCTTAGGCGCTGCTTTCTGTTTCGACTCCTCTGCGAGAAATACGGCATTTTGATTTTAAGTGAGCCTTAGCATATAATCACCCTTTTCCAGCCAATAAAATGATATTTGGCTATCTGCTAGAAAAGTACGACAGAAAAATGATAATGGTAGCCGAAATTTGATTAAGCGATTTGTCAGTTCCGCATCATGAACCCAACTGATTTATGCGGTGAATAGCCGTTGATCACCTGCTGGAATGCGAGTGAGAAGCTGTTGATTTCCCCTCACCGCAGGTCTGTACGAACTGAAAATCTTGAGAATCTTGTACCATCACCTATCTTTATGTGTGCAATAATGGGTTTAAGATCACTGAGTGATCTACTACCCAGATAACTTTATTATTAGGCTAAAATCGCGATTCGGTTTCGCATCAGCTGCGAGCTGTCTTAGTTCTGTAAAGCCAGTGATGGGCGGATCTGCAGCCTCTCAACTAAATGAACCGAACCTAGTACTTGTGAGCGTCCCGATCGTTTAGGATGTTTGGCTATTTCACTCTCGACACACCGGATCGATTTTGTCTGGCGACGTCAGAATGAATAAAACCATTTTGCCTCGGCTGCACGAACAACATTCAGTGAGATCATCAATAATCAGTTGTTAATATTTGTCACGTCAGTGGTTTGACAGTATCATGACCAAAAGCGTAACATAACTCAAGATTTTCATATGGGGAACTAAATTACAGAAACCATCGTTCGGAAAGACATCCTTCAGCAGACATACAATGGCGCTGAAGTATTTCCTTCGCGAAAGCGATGAAATATTATCAGAATCATACTGATCCAATATCATACTGTAAGTACGTGATCATAATCTAAGCTTAAGCATTGCAGTTTGGGACGCAAGGTCTAAATGATTATCGCACACAGATCATGGTATAGTGTATATCATCTTTACTGGCATGAAGCTATTTTTGAGGGAACATGATCAAAGTCATACCGCGAAGTTGCGTTATGCCCTCATCCTTCTTTTGGACGCTGTGTCATTCAGAGGATATGATATTCGTTTTGCATCAGATCTGACGTGAGGATGTTGGTTGTTCAGTCAGGCTGAGCATTTGACTCTGAATGAAGAGATCCGG